TTGTATAATACGGCTCGTTGTCGAAGAAGAATATCAAATGTCACGAGCGACAGCTCCAACAATTGTCTATATGAGACGCTCTGCCAGTACATATCTTGCTTAGATAATATGCTAGCGGAAATGTTCAGAAAAGAGGTAGCGAAAGAAATCGAAACTAGCCTCGGTATATGAGGTCGTATGTCGTCATGGATGGCATCAATGGGATGGGAGTTAGACTAACCGCTAGTAAGAAAACCAGAAACCGAAGCGTCTCAAGAGAGAAATCCATGGCGCAAGATAAAGAAGACACAAAAGATTGGATACAGAACAGTATATACGATGTGGTGGATCTCACCGTAAATAAAATATTGGGCAACAAGAAGTTATAGGAACAACATACAAAAGTTGTGAACGCAGCATCTCAAAAATGCTGCGACTTTGTCGGAAAATACAAGGATGCGAAAAGGAGACCCATTACTCTCAGACTGGAGGATTTCAATCCCACTCTATACGACACAATATATGTTGATGCCCCGTACGAGGGTGAAATAGGTTTCTTCCCAATCCAAATTGAAGCCGAGTTGAAAGTAGTCGTACCCGAAACGGTGAAACAAACGGAAACAATCAAGTTGAAGATTAATATCGACAATCCTTGCATTAGCGCAGTGAAGCATGGACCGAAGGTTCCTCATGTCGGCTATAGCATAATGGATGCGGCGATTTGCCATTAAAAGCACGTGGACATATATTGATAAATAAAGAGGCCAACGAGTTCCTTCCACATCAAAACAGTAATAATATTGATGTGACAAGTTTACTTGCTGGAAAAACAATCTCCGATTATCAGCAAATTTCTATCTTAAAGATATTCGCAGGACCGACAGATTACGAGAAAGTCCTCGCGCAATACGATATACTGAATTTCAACCATTCAAGAATGAGAGATAAAAAATTGGTCACAAACCACCACATTTTACCAAGCGTCTTGATTTATTTATTCACGCAGAAAGGAACTTTCTGAATTAGAATGAACCGAAGAGATATTATATTAAAGTACTTCCAAGGCAGAGCAGGAAATGATGATAATGATGTCGAAATGACGTCAAAGTGATAAAAAACTCATTTTTCATCATGATTCAATGTTTTTCTTTTTATTTTGATGTCATTATAATTTTCTGTTGCTTCTATTCTGTTGGTTCTATTTGGGTTGTTGTTTTTTTTTTATTGACGTTCCTGACCTTGACATGTAATGTTTGATCATATCTTGATATAATTTTAATGTGTGATACAATGAGATTCATTTTAATATTCTCTTCAAGATTATCAATGATCTTAATCGATACATATGTATACCGATATATATATATAATAGTTTTCATATATATACTCTTTATTACTCTTATATCTATGTCAAATATAAAGATTAACTATATATGTTGTATTTTATATTAAATTTATATGAATGTATATTTTAAAATATACGTGTGAGATCTCGTATTTTCTAGTTAGTTTATATATATCTTTTATCATTGAAACGCCTGCAACAAGATTTTATGTGTTGACGGTCGTTAAGACCAGTGTTCGGCTATAATTATTAAAATAGGGAGTAAGGAGTGTTTGAGTCCACATATGAAATAGAAGTGTCGATGGCGACGAACACGATGTATGAAAGCACTGTCGACACTTTCTGCCAAATCGTTTAATCCATCAGCCAAACAATAAGTTTATTTATGTAGAATATTAGGAATATATATATCTTTATTTGAGTACAATGTCGGTGTTATATTTAATTGTTAATACATTATTATTTAATACGTTATAAATTCTCAGTGCTTGATTAGAGAGTCACAGTTGTGAGATATTTCTTTACAATTCGGTGTCTGGAATAAAAATCTTACAGCTGTTAAAAGAAACATATCTTACATACTTTTCCTCTATCTACATATTCCATTATCTTGATTTAACAGATGCTTTCTCTTGTTTAAGAAGCTTCTCAGGAAGTCCAATCGAACATATGTGTATTGTAAAGTTTCGAGCCTAACAATGAAGCACTTATATTTTTGTGCAAAATCGATTTTATTGTTCAATATAGTCTTCTTTTAGCTCGATACACTTCGTTCGTCTCTTTTCTAGTCCTTTCATTTCATCAGCAAAGTAGGTTAAGATAAGTCCTGCAAAATATTTGTTTACGGAGGTTCAATCACTTACTCATTGGTCACGAATTTTTTCCTCCCAACCCTTTCTTCATATCGGGGACCATTGAGAAATAAGGAAAAATTGCAGGGTACTAAATCAGAAGACTAGAGGGAGGAGGAATCAATTTGTAACGTAATGTATGTAGTTCGGTTATGACGATTGCAGATGTGAACACTGATGCATTGTCCTAAAGAAAAGTATAACTTTTCCTTTTTCAAATTCGGTCGTTTCTTTGCGATTTTTTTCTTCAAACGTTCTAATGATAATGCATAATGCGTCAGTGATAATATTTCCTTTCTGAAGATAATCAATTATCAATATGCCAAGGCTATCCCAAAAACAGTCGCTATAATATTTCGGGCTGAATGAAATATCTTGGCTCTCTTTGGAACAGGTTTGCCTGGTGAAGTTCACTGTTTTGACTGTTTCTTGTCTTCAGGTATGTAGTAGTGAATCCATGTTTCGTCAACAGATACGAATCGACGCAAGAAATCCTGTGTATCTCTCTTAAACCGGTCTAAACACTCCTTTGAAATGTGTCGAATGTGTTTTTGGTCCAACATCAGTAAACATAGCTCTCATCACGCAATCAGCTTTCTCATACCAAAATCTTTATGTAATATTTTGAATATACGTTTAGAAGCCTGCGGCAGGTTTACAGGACGTTAAAAAAAAAGAATTCAAAACTTTAAGGATAGATCGTCGCAAAATGGAGAAAAAAAATATTAATAAACATATTCATCGAAAATAAATATTGTCGGAATTATAAATAAATATTTATTTTAATTAAAGTAAATAACTTAATATATTACGAAAAGAAATGGACGCTAACAAGATGTGAATCTCAAAATAAATCTTTAAGAAGGAATATTAAATCGTCGGTTCTCCTGAAAAATAAGAATATCTTATGCTTTTTAAAATATGATTATTCCTTCGTGTGTTTTTCATGTTTTGTACTTTCAGAGTTTATTTTTTATTTCAAAATAATAAATCGCATAATCAAATATTTTGTCCTCAAACGTTATGTTATAATCGTATCCTACTAATTTAAAACCATTCGCTAATACAATTCAACTTCATTTGCAATTACCATTTCATTAATCCTTACCATTTAACAATCACATTAACCTATTTATCCCGAATAACATTGCCGTAAATTATCACTTTTCGCTGTGCAATCATACGCGTTTGCATAGAGGAAAAACGAATGTCGGTTTCGCAAAATCTCTTCGCGGCATTCCATGCGATATACATGATCATTAATAGAAGTTATAAAGACGTGTACAATGTTATCATCGTCGATAAGCTTATTCCATCACAGTCAACATGCGCCAGTGAATTGTGCCGTCTCTGGCTACCTTTTATATCCGACCTATAATAACCTCCGAATATCGCCGAATAGTCGATAATTCCTCGAAAAGCTATCATCCTTACCCTTACAAACATGAGTCGATAAATTAACATTGTCGAAATTATGAACAAATATTTATTTTAATTAAAATAAGTGATTTACTTAATATATTATGCAGAGGAATGCCCGCTAACAAGTTGTAAAAGCTGTCATTCTCAAAATAAATAATCTTTAAAAAAAAATATTAATCAGTCGGTTCTCTTGAAAATAAGAATATCTTATATTTTTTAAATCATGATTATTACTCCGTCTTTTTCCGTCTTCCTTTTCATATTTGTATTTTCGAAGTTTATTTTTCAGTCTGAGAATATGAATTCGCGTAATTAAATATTTTGTCCTCAAACGTTATATTATAATCGTACTAATTTACTACCTACTAATTTAAAACCACTCGCTAATATAATTCAACTTCATATGCTATTTCATTAATCCTTGCTACTTAGCGATTAACCCATTTATCTAATAATAATAATAATAATTCTGCTTTTCGAATAATTTTGAATAATTTCGCTTTTCACTATGCAATTATACGCATTTGCGTAGAGGAGAAACACATATCGGCTTCACAGAATCCGCGGCACTCAATACGATACACACTATCATTAATATAAGTTATGAAAATGTATACAATGTTATCATTGTCGATAAGCTCATCGCATGAAAGTCAATATCCGACAATGAATTGTGCCGTCCCTGCCTATCTCTTATACCCTTTTTGTAATAAAAAAAACTACTTATTTTTATAACTAAAAACCTAAGCTTTGTATAACATTTTGCAAGAGGAAAGATCGTCTTAGAATTAGTTCAGAAACGTGTGTGTGTGTGTGTGTATGTGTGCACATATATGCCGCAATGATGTCTCTGCGAGGCTAATGTTACACGAGTGTCATAGGAATGATATTATAAAGACACAACATTTATAACAAAGTATATTCGATTTCGCACATCTCTATGATTTTGGTGTGACTTCATTGTGACCATTGTCACTTTCGTGTTATGTGAGTAGCTATGTATCTTTACGAAATCTTTGAGAAATATATTGGATATTTGAGAGATAGTTATTGACAAAACTGAAAAATTTTTATATAACAAAATATATTATTTTTGTAGAAACTGTAATTTTTCGAAAATATAGAAGAAAAGGATGAGATTCTCTTAAGGATAAAATAACGCACAGAGATAGGAATGAGAAAAATTTAAACTATTCTCTGCACATATATGTTTGGTTAAAGATAAAAATGGAAAACCTGTAGCTTTCGTAAGAATTTCCCAAGATCATGATCATGTAACTCAACAGAATTAAACATTTTAGTGTCTTATAATTAGTTTTAATTGGACAATATTCACTTAGGATTCACACGAATAAAAAGGGTAACAATCTATTATTAAACAGTCTATCGTTGATACGATGGATGGACCACTAGATGTCAGGAAATCCTGAAGACTCAAACAGCAGAAGCCAGTGTTTGCTTGGATCAGTCGGTCGTAGACTGATGCGCGACTCTCTTGAAGTCTGGATTGGATTTTGTTATCTTCAACAAATACAATTATATATAAGTTTAGAAGACTGAACAAAATATTAAGACCAACACTGCACATAATATAAGGTAAGATTCATAAGTTCTTTTAAATTTAAACAAATTATAAACTGTAAATTTGAACAAGAACTTACTGACTTTTGGAAATTTCAAAATCATCAAATTAACAAACGTCAGGGCACTATTGTAACAATATATTCTTAAGACCAAATACAGCAAAAAGGTCTAGTACCACTTTTTCTTTCGAAATAATTAGCGAGATATCGTAAGTTAAATATTAAAAAAGTTATCAAGTTTTCTTTAAATATCTCAAAAAATATTAGGTAAATAAAAAATGTTTCAGACAAAAGTTGTTCAAATTAATTGGTAGAAAAAGGCGGTGTAATAAAAAATTGGGGTTTCCATTTAAGAAAAGTAATGATCAGTGAATATCTCGAAAGTACCATTTGTAAAGAGAATGATGTGGTTGTTTTATGTCCCTCTTGAAATCATACAACTTTTGTCCGAAACATTTTTTTCTAAAATGTTGGCTTGGCTTCCGAGATATTTCGCTCTGTTCCGTTACTTTTTCTTCACCTATATATACATATATATTAAGTCATTAAATATAAAATGTCTGATTTCGAATCAAAAGTTTGGTTTATTATATCTCACATTAGAAATAGTATAATTAATCAAAGTATGCGCCTAAACTATCGATACAGTTTTACCATCTTAACGGTAGCTTATTTGACAGCAGCGAAGAAGTCTGAACAGAGGGTGACAATGAAATCGCGTTTTCCACAGTTTATTGAGAATTTAATATTTTTCTTTGCAAAAAGTGGTCCAATGTCTGGAAGAAGTGATAATCAGTTGATGCAAGGTCTGGTGAATACGGTGGATGACAGAAAGTTTCCAAGTCCAGCTCCTGTAGTTTGAGCAACATTGTTTGTGCGACATGTGGTCGAGTGTTGTCTTGCAAAAGGATTGGCCTGTCTCTATTGACCAAGCATCCTCATCATTTCGTCCACTTGGTTACAGTAAACATCCACTTTCTTTCGTGAATATTTGATTTCGGATTGTGCTTCGGCATTTCATCTATATCCAACCATTGTGCCGAACGCTTGCGATTATCGAAAAGAATCCATTTTTCATTACACGTAACAATATAATGTAAAAATGGTTTTTGAGACGATTTTCCTTCTGACACTCGTTTAATTCATGTGAAACCCATCTATCTAGCTTCTTTACCTTACCGATTTGTTTCAAATGATCCAATTATTGTTGAACCTTGCTGCTGATTTACGCGTAGTTTGAGATGTATGTATTCGATTCCACTACAGCTTTCAGTTCATCATTATCCATTTTGGCATCGGATCGCCCATGTGGCTTATTTTCAAGATTAAAATCGCCGGAACAAAACTTCTCAAACCATCAACGTGCTGTGCGTTCAATAGCCACATCTTTACCAAACACTTTGTTGATATTTCGAGTTGTCTGCGTTGCATTGATTCCACGACAGAACTCATATTTGAAAATAACACAAACTTTTGACTTATTCACGGTTACACAAAAATTGCTGTAAGAAAAGACAACTCGAAAGATAATCACAAACCAAAATATGCGTTTGAAAAAGTGATGATGTATCTTCACAACATAAAAAAATCAAGAACTGTAAAAATAAAATATCAGAGATATCCACTATCGAAATTAATATTTAAGGAAATCAGATATTTCATACTTAACGACCTAATATATATGACATAATAATTATGGTATCAAGTATACATCGACATGAAATATGTCATGGTTAATATCATGGAATCATGTGTCAGTACTTAACATTTTAAATGCAGGAAGTTTAAACTGAGCGGCGAAGTCTGCAATGTGATTTTTCGATTTATCGAATATTATTTCCGCATGCTTTATACTTAAGAATAAATTTGGTTGATTGAAATCGATTACATGGATCCGTGAACATGACATTTGGTATCATTTCCACACTATTAAATATCAAATATCTATCACTAATCATATTGAGCCGATATACGATAATTCGTCAGATGATTTCGACCGCCACTCGCAAATTCGTGACGTACGTGACGTCACACGCAAAGAAATTAATCGCGTATCAGATGCCGGTGAACGTCATCGGTCTGCTCTTCGCTTGTAGTAATATTTTTCATGGAATACAGCGATAGCAGAAGTATCAATAGTATGCGTCATGCTTGCTAAATATATGTGTGGTTCTGTGTAGGAACAGATAAGGTGTTGCCGAGCAATGCAGCAGAGACTATTGGAACTCCACTTTTTCACAATTTCAACGGATGTGCGGATGTGACTTATCTGATATTTCTATATAAATGATAAAAAGGCAGTAGGTAATAAATCATTCTACTCAACTTGCATTCGATAATGCCTTAATTTTTTCTCATAAAAATTTTCTTTAATACAAATTAATACAAATTATATTCTATCATTCATAATATATCACACCGCGTTTCATTTTTCTTTTCTCTAGGCGTCGCAAAGTTTAATAGCTAGCAATATAGGGACAAGAAATATCTAAATATCACGCTTTATTATATAAAATTATTACTGACAATAGTTCTCAAAAATTAAAAATTACGTATCAAGATATTACATATAGCAAGATTGCAAAAGAAGTTACAATGAAAGTAACAGATATACCAAATCTAATACGAACAAATCTAAGGAATTATGGATATTACTTGGAGCAAATAAAGAATATCGTTGAGAAAGAACATAACGTCCAGCTGAATACTGTCGATCATGCTTACATAGAAGACAAATATGTCAAATATTGCTTGGAGTACTGGATGGAGGAGATCGATAATTTTCTAAATGAACATTCAGCTGACAACCACTTAATAGAGAAACTCATTGCTTTGAACAACATAAAACATTTTGTTGAAATTCCGCCTCCGTTTAATGAGTTGAATTATTATAAACTTTTGATGGAACACAAAGATCTTATTGAACAACACAAAGAAGAAACCTTGATGAGACGTTTTAAAGAAAAATGCTTGAAGCTCTCAGTGGTACACAGTAACATCGTAACCAAGGAGATTGACTTTCTGAAGACATTGCTTGAATTTTTAGCTATGTTCGAAAAGTGTGACAAATATCCGGACATGATGAAGTTAGAACATTTGTATGAACCTGACATTTCAAGCGATAAATTTTTCCAAATAATTATGAACCTTGATATCACCGATTATGATATAAAGCTTAAGCAATTGCAATACGCGGCGCAGTCATTGATGGGACAAAAACATATTGCTTTGATGGATAAATATCAAGAAATTATCGGGGCATACTTTAAACCGGTAACATTAGAAAAGCTGACAATTGATAATCGAGTTGTTATTGAAATAATAGGTGGAAATTTTTATCTAAGTGATATCACCAATGATGTAAATTCTCTTTTGTTATATGACTCTTATGTAGAAGAGGTTCGTTTTATATGTTCTGGCATTATGTATGTCAATGAAAATCTGGAGAATAGCATGTGGCATGGGAAAAATATCGTGATGTATGCTAAAGCGATTGTAATTTGCCACAAATGTAAATGGGATATTTCCGGAAAGTCCGCAAACGCCACAACAATTGCCAAAGCGAAAACCGACGACGACGGCGTGGGTATAGACGGAGAGCATGGAAAATGTGGAGAAAGCGGCGGAAATGTCTTCATTCATGCAGATAATATGTTACATCCGCAGATGCTGGAGATTTGGTCCAATGGTGGAAATGGTAGCGACGGTCAAAGTGGAGGAGACGGTAAAAACGGGAGAAACGGAACAGGAATTTCTCATGTAGATTTCATTAGGAAATTCCCAAGCAGTGGGAAACTTGTTGGTAAATTTTTGATCAAAAACTTGAGAACTATAGTACGTAATATACGTTCTTTGGGACAAATAAAAGTATCGTGGCTAAATGGTAATAATTGTTCAGTAGAAGATATAATAAAATGCAATAAAAGATGCAATACATACATAGAGGCTATAACCGAAGACGGTCAAGAAATTTATTTTTCTTCCTCGTTCGGCGGCCAAACTTTCGTATTATATAAGGGTTCCGCAGGGCGTCCTGGAGGACGCGGAGGTGCGGCCGGTTTAGGTGGGCAAGGAGGATACCTCGGTGAAGTGATTAGTAGCGACAATGGTATTGTCGTAATTTCCAATTCGGGCAAAAATGGCGAGAATGGCAAAGAAGGTAAATGCGGCACTCACGGAGAAAATGGCTGGGACATGTCTTTTATCGACTGGGCACTCTGGATGGACGGAACATATTACGGTATAAATCAGAACAGGAAACTGAAATTGAGTTATTACGGTCGCAATGCTTCAGATCGGATATACGTTCCTTATCGTGCCAATAATTCCAACCATAAGTACGCAAAAATATCGCAGACCAGCATCCCGAAACCTGCAAGCACGACATTCACAGAGAAGAATATTTCAACGTGCTCAGAGCGTCAAGCTCAAGCCGAGAGAAAGAAGAATATTTCGCAGAAACGTATCTTTATGTTATACTCTCAACATATGGTCGAGACTAACATCAGTTTGTATCAAAATATTCAGACGTACATGCGATATGCTGAAGAATACGCTTTTGAAAGAATAATGAAGAATAGAGAGGGGCAAATGAAGGAAATATCGAAAATAGTCCTTACGCGTACAAAACCATCTGCACAGAAAAATGTAAATATGTTCAACGCAATTTCCCCCTTCACTGAGCCTCAACAAGCATATGGAAACTCTCTGGAAGATTTACTAAAAGGTTTACGCCAAGCTTCATTAAATGAATGGTTTGAATTAGGAAATGAAGAACTGGAATATTCTCACTTTAATTATTTGTTTGAGCTTTACGGACGGTTGAAAGAGAAACACGCACAAAAAAAGAGAGGAAACACAAACGATAGTGCATATGATATTCAAGTGCAATTGCAGTTGAAAAATATTGAACAACTCTTGATTGAAAAGTATCGTTTAGCTGTTCTCCAACAAATCGCATTAAAAATAGCCAGATATCAATATATTGCTAATAACTCATTTAAATTAACACCTAAGAATGTGACAAAGTATTTTCAAAAGATCAAAAGTAATTCGCCTGTTAAACTAGATCTGAACAAAGAGCTCGGTAATTTGCAGCAGTACTTCTTCGAGGATAACGAGATGCAACGCAGCATGATCTCGAAATTTTGCACAGCAGAAAACGTGAGCAAGTATCAAGACGCTTTCAAGTTTTCCATTGCATCCTTCGTGATAGACGAGGGTGAAGAAGAGGAAGCGCATCCATGCGTGAAGAAGTACTATAAAAAATATATCAAATTTGTCAGTACGCAAGAGATGAAATTAAGGAAATTCTACAAAGAATTGAAGCTTGAAGCAAGTTCTTGTACCGAAGTGATAGTTCAGTTCTTCCGAAGTTTAAATAATACAATTGTGGAAAACAAGTTGAAGGAGGATGTGAAGAGTAACAAACAACTGAAGGAGCTTTACGTACGATTTACTGAGATGTTCAGTGAACGTTTTATTTGGGAAGACTGTATGAAAGATCCGAACATATTTGATGAATATATGCAACATATAAAACTACACGGTCCATTGTCGCCAAGTTACCGAGAATTATTAGCATACATATTCAACATTAATATCTGCATGTACACCATGGATCAAAATAACCAGTTCTGTTTGTTGGACGTACACAATCCGCAATGCGCAGATGTTATATATCTCTTGTACACCAATAAGAACTACACACTCCTGAATGTCAATCAGAACTTCCTTCGATTGGACATAGAACGTAACGGCAAAGCTAATCTGTGCACAAAAATCATCACAGAAGTGGAGTCGTTGGAACATAAGGCAAACCTCAATGAGTACATGAAGGAAGGATTTCTCCTCGGAAGCAAAGAGGACAACAACGTTATCTCCATCACCGAAAAAAAAATCGACGAGAAGGCAGATATGAACGACATAATAGAACACTTTTCCTCCTCAGAGGAGAAACAGAAGCTACGATTCATGTTGGACAAGATATCATCCAAGTATATTGGACAACGTGAAATTATTCACGCTATAGCCAAAGTTTTCTCACGCAACGGTAGACATATTACCTACAACGAACTGTATTGCCTGGTGAACGCAGTACTGAATTTCGTAATCCAAGATTGTCCTGGCTTAAATGTATTTAGTTGGATAATTATGGCATATCCGCAGCAACAATGGTTAAACGAAATTATACTGTTAAAGCTCGAAAATCATTTTCAAATGTTGTTGGACAAGATACACGAATGGAGGCAATATTTGGCGAATATTCATGAGAAAGAAACTCTGTTACTAATGAGTTTCAAATTGGAGCAGAGAAGATCGAACAAGGCCTTCTCAACGGAATGTATAGGAACCATTTTGTACTTGCTGAGTAATATTTCAGAACGCGTGCCTGGGCTCCATGAGTTGGAATTATCCGAGTGGCCGTATGCGATCAAGGAGAAATACTGGACGACCAAATTATCTACGTTGACTGAATGGGAGGAAGAAGAATTGCAGAGGGCCTCTTACTACTTGTTATCTCTAGAGAATATTGCCGGCACTTCTCTCGTGGACGAATTCATGGATCTTCTTATAAGAAAGGGTGTCACGTTACAATCGAAAAAGAGCACGTGTGTAACAAACGAGATGTCGCCCCATTTTCAAAAGAAAACCAGCTCGATCAGTACTCATGATTTTCTTCAAATCCTATTGAGTTTTCACAACGGAGAGTGGAATTTCTCCAAAGAAGTTCTCATTACACTCAACGACTGCCAGATCAACGAATGGACAATCCTGATGAAAGAAATATTTCCCACCAACGGGGAAGATCGCAACGCAGAAAGGTTGATTGATTTAATCAGAGGCAATGGCAGCACTTCCGAACGTATTCTGAACGATCTGAATGCGGTCAGAAATATCATTCAAGCTATGAAGCAAGTAACGGCGACGAGCGAGGAAACGATCAAAGAGGAGATCACAAGGCACAAATCCAACATAGAGCTCTCCGAGAAGGGGAGTGATAAATTGCAGTACGTAAACAATTACATGGCTGATTTGCTGAGTCTGATAGACAACGCCATAAATATGAAAAAGAATTTCAGGCTTCGCGACACGCAGAAACTTGCCATATTGGCATTATTCAGGAATGAATGCAGCACACTGATGCAGATATCCACGGGGGAGGGTAAGTCACTAATCGTCGTGGCATTGTCGATCTTGAAGGCACTTTGCGGTCAAAAAGTCGACATCATCACCAGCTCGTCGGTGCTGGCAAAACGCGACAGCGAGATCAATAGCGACATTTACGATCTCTTCTCCGTCAGCGTGTCGCACAATTGCGACAATGACGTCGAAAATCGGAAAGAGGTATACTCTTGTAAGAACGTTGTTTACGGAGAGCTATCCGGCTTCCAGCGCGATTATCTGTTGGATCGATTCTACGGTAAAAATATCCTAGCCGACCGCAGCTTTGAGAATGTCATCATGGACGAAGTGGACAGTATGTTACTTGACAAGGGTA